GTTGTAGGAGCCTGGCCTCATTGCAGGTCTATGACATGTGGCTTCCCCCTAGGTAGAGAATTCCCCAGCTCCTTCGAGTCCTTGGTGAAGAAGATCTGCAAGTATCTGTTTCACGTGTTGGGCCACATCTACTGGGCCCATTTCAAGGAGACCCTGGCCCTTGAGCTGCACGGACATTTGAACACACTGTACGTGCACTTCATCCTTTTCGCCAGAGAGTTCAACCTGCTCGACCCCAAAGAAACCGCAGTCATGGACGACCTCACTGAGGTGCTATGCAGCAGCCCAGGTAGCGGTGGTGCCACTGGGGATGGGGCCAGCAGTGGAGCTTCCGGAGCACAGAACCACGTAAAGGAGAGATGAGCCTCCAGGGCCAGATGGATGCACATGTGCAAAGAGACAACTGTGTGTCTGTGTGTGCGCACACATTCCCCGGGCGTGCTGGTGGCAAGGTCTGAGGGCCCCAGGCTGCGCAGAGTGTGGGCTTCATGGATGCCGCTGGAGTCAAGGCGTGTTTCCTGACTTCCCTGTTGGATGGATGAGTGCTGTTTGTAGTGAAGAGCCTTTGGAGTCATTCATTCATTCAACAAACATTTATTGGACTGATGTTTTGATTTTTCTTCTGTGGGGCTTTCCTTTCTTGGGTCTTCCATGTGGCTCTTGCCCTCCCCTCCCCTCTCTCAGGGGGGCTCTGCGGCTTTGAAAGTAGCACCTTGTGAGGTGTCTCCCCCTTACGGGGTTTGCTCTGCAGACCTGGAGTTCTGCTGTGCTTTGGGGATGGGCTTTTACAGAGGCCCACCCTGCAGCTTCCCTCCCTAGCCCTTGCCTGGATCTTGGCTCGGAGCCCCTGGGGTAGAGAGGCCTGGGGTGACCCTTGAGGGCCCACACCTGCTGCTTGCTCCTGTCACCCCTTCTTGCTGCCTCCTCAGTGCCCATGGAGGTCCCATTTGTGCATAGGGGCCAGGGTAGCACCAGGACCTGGCTGAGGCCCTGTGTGGAGACAGGGCTGTCAGTAAAAGGCAGAATCTGCTTTAGTTCATCTGTTCGGTCATAATAAAAGAATTCTCTCAGGTCAGAGCCTGTGTCCTCTCAGTCTGCTCTTTCAAATTGCTTTTCTGAGTCTTCCCTGAGGCTTCTGGGAAGGGCGGGAAGGGTTCAGGTACCTTGACCTTATCCTCACTGGTTGTACCTCCTTGAGTGAGGATGGAGGCCTTCAGACATGTTTAGATTTGGCTCAGGCTCAACATCGGGGGTCCAGAAGGGGGCAGCTTGCTGCCTAGGTGGGGACTGGGCCTAAGCTCAAGCCTGGAGCTGGCCTTGGGCCCAAGTGGGCTGAAAGGGGCCAGGGAGGCGGGGGTGGGGGGTGGGGACAGGCATGGTTACAGCTTGTTCTTCACAGACAACAAGCTCGAGTCTTTGGATTCTAGCAGCCTGTTTGCTGTGTTTGCCAACAACTCCTAGGATGCTCTGCCCCAACAGGTTTCCTTTAAATTGTGGGCCTTCCAGGGTTTTAGGGTTCACCTGGCCTTCTGGCTCTTCACTTACTGCACCATCAGCAGCCCCCTGGGAGGCTGAACTTGAGGCTGGAAGCTCTTCTGTTAACTATGGGGGTTTAGCGCCTGTAAACACCTTGACCAACCTCATCTGTCTGCTGACATTCTCAATAGCTATCTGCCACTGTCTAATGATGGCCAGAAAATTCCAGGGTACATGGAGTCTTCAGTCTACTCCCTCTCCATAGGCACCTTCTGAGCTTGAGGTAGGAAGATGGCATGTTTTAGGCCAGCCTAGGGCTATACAAGGAGTGCCTGATTTAAAATAAAAACCCTCCCTGAACCAACTTAAAGCCTTCAAGCCATTAGTCTTAGTTCCTGGGAACAGAATCCACCAGACTATCTGAGCCTCTGCCCACCACATCTCCTGTCTTAGCAGAGACCCCTTGAGTGGAAACCACAGGGTGCCATGAAACTGTATGTCTAGGACTACTATAAGGAGCCTGTGCGGGGCCTCAGCTTGCTGGAAGTACCAGGGGGAATCCTGGGGCAAGGGAGTATAGGAGCAAAGTGGAGCTTGGCTCATTAAGACTTCCCTCTCCTCAGCTCCCAGGGAACAAAGCTACCATAGCTCTGGCTACCCATTGTGGGGGAGGGTGCCCAGTGCAGATAGAGCCCATGGCTGGCTGCTAGGACGATGGGTTTCTAGCTGGAGCTGCTGTGTGGAATCTGAGACAGAGTGAAGTAGAGTGGTATACCTCCATATCTCCAGGTGGTGGTGGTGGTGGTGGTGGGGTTTGATCTGACAGGAAAGAATGGCAGGACCTCCAAGCACGTGGTGTTGCCACACAGCCTTTGGAAGGCTATCCCTGAAGGCATGGACATCTAAATGAGGGCTGCCGGACTCTGTGCTGGGGCCCAGCTTTAATACTCTATGGCACACAGGGCAGTTCTGTGTGCTATCCACCATATGTAGATGGCTCCTTGCTGCCTTCTTGTCCCTGCCGTGGGTTCTCACCTGTACAGGGGGAGTTGATCCATGAGGCAGTCCTTGGATTTAGCCTTTGGTGAAGTTGAGTTCAGACAGAGGCTGACTGCTGATAGAAAAGCATGTGTGGTGGATGCTGGGACAGAGGCAGGCAGATCTCTGTGAGTTCGAGGCCAGCCTGATCTATAAGAGCTAGTTCCAGGACAGGCTCCAAAGCTACAGAGAAATCTTGTCTCAAAAAAAAAAAAAAGAAGAAGAAGAAAAAAGAAAAAGGAAGGCATGTGTGATGTGTGGAATGCCCAGAGGTCCCTAAATGGTAGCAGAAGTATGGTTGTGAGTGAGGGTTGGGAAATGAAGGAAAGGGTCCAGCCAAGAAAACCTACTCCATCCCTGAGAATGCTCAGCGTTGCTGTGACTAGTTGGTGAATGGAAATAGCAATGTGAGCAGCACTGCAGGTGAGGGCTCAGTAGAAAGACCCTGCCGCTGGGAAGAAAGAAGTGTAGTAGGGAGCGATTGCACCACTGGGCTGGGAACAGGATCTGGAAGCTGGCAACTGGAGCATCTCGCAGAAGTTTCCAAACAGCATGAAAGGCAAAGCCTGGTCTTGCCAGTGTGTATTCTGAGGGGAAGAAGACAGAAGAGCTATGGCCCAGCAGGGAGCTACCACGTAAGGCCATGTGAATGACAGATGGCACTCAAGTTTCACTGTCAGGACAATGTGCTCCAGAGATAGGAGCCAGAATGAAGCTGGGCAGTTCTTTGGACCTCAGCAGCTACTAACACCTTTGGTCAGCCTCCTGGCCAAAAGCTGAAAGTAGAGCAAAGATTCTTTGTGAAGGGCTTGCTGGCCTGTAGGATTTCAAGGCCTCACTATCTCCCCCAGGAACTGTGTCATTCTGCCCTTAGGCTGGAACTGAGCGACTCGCCAAGGTAGAGAGAGGTTGGGTTTTGAGCATTTCTTTCTGAGGGTGCCAGGTTGTGCTTCACCCCTGGGGTCTGAAGCACCCATCACTTACTGCTGGGTCAATCAAGTTATGTCCTAAGATGGGGGCTGGCCTCTAGAGGCCTTTTATTTACTTTTTGGTAGTCCTCTCCTCCTTTTAATTTCTTCAGAAGAGTGTGCAGACCAGTAACTTTAATACTCAGTGTAAACTGCATGAGGCTGTGTCTGGTGTACAGTCTCTTCCTTTTTTTATTTTTTAATTTTTATGAACAGTGGGCTGAGCTTGTTTTGCCTTATATACAGTTAGGAGTAGGATTGTGGAAGGTTCCTTTATGAGCCCTGAGGGTGCAATAGTGTGCAGATGGGAAGCTGCTGGGTCTGTGAAGTAAGCTGGCCTACTTAATGCCCACCAAAGCTGACTATAGCGTACATATCCAATGGACCAGCTGGAGGAAGATTGGCTGGGAATCGGTGGGTTGCTGTTCTTAGCAAAGCAGATGCAGAAAGAGAAGACACGGGAAGACATCTTAGCCCCCAGACCTAGATAATCAGGCATCTCTGGATCAGGTCCTTCCTAAACCAACATTTCAAGCTAAAGTTAACTGAAAAGCTCAAACAGGAGCTTGGTCCCTTGTCCTCACCTAGTACCTTCAAGGTACCCGACTCCTTAGAAAGCACAGAAACCTCCAGAATTAAGCAGAGAGTGACCCTAGATTTACTGTGTTGCTTTTTTATCCTGCATTTTGAGCTTGATTCTACAGAGTTGCCTCCCTTAGGTCACAATGAAACTAGGCAAAAATGGCTTAGATGTCTCTGGTAATATTATGTGTTAACTGGGTCTCGTGCCAGGGAAGGACCTCATTTGGGTCTACTCCACCCCCAGAAGATACACAGTAGTGTCAGAGAGTCTCAAAAACGTAAAAGTAAGCTGGCATCGACTAGGCAGAGGCCAGGGATGCTGTGAACTCCTACAGTGCCAGGTCCATTAGCCCTCCCCGCAACTGTCAATGTGCTGTGTAGTAGAGCTCTGCCACCAGGCAGTGAGGCACAGGTGTGCCAGATGCACAGCTTCATGGTCTGGGCACTTTGCTCTGACTTTTGAGGATTGTCCAGCCTCGGGCTCTTGGCATTCAAGACATGGAACTAGACCTGTCCTCCATATACTAGCAGCAGAGGGGTGGTGATGAGGCTGGGGCATCCCTTGCTGGCTACGGGAACACAGGAGAGACTCTGTGGAGAAAGTCCAAGGGCTGGATGTCCTCAGGCACATCTGGGTGACGCTGAAACTGTCATGAGGAGGACAGCTCTCCTGTCACCTCTGCTATCTTCCTAGCAGATAGCCTCGCCAGCCTGTCTCTAGACTGCTCTTTCCTTAGCTCTGGTTTTCACTGGAAGCCCATCTCTGGTGGAAGAGCCCAGGGAAACACCCCAGCCTGTTTAACAGACCCCCTTCCAGAGGTGGACCTCTTCCCTGAGCACAGCCCAGACAGATACAAGTTGGGTACAAGAGCCACTTTCAAACATCCTGTGCCCTTTCCCATGCCCGCCCAGCCCGGATGGAGACCTTGCATCATGTGTCTTTACGGAAGGAATTTATTGTTCCAGAACTGAAATTGCTCACAGTTATTTGACAGGGGTTACACCAGATGGGGCTTGTCCATTTCTGTGATGTCTGCGAGTCCGCATGTGTCCAAAGTACAAAAGAGGAAGGCTAACAAGAGGTATTGCTTTCAGTATCCTGACTCCATGGATAAGCCCCTTCCCACTTGTACTGCGTGGCTTTGCTGTTGTTACAGGTGTTTGATTTTGCCCTATGTATGGGAATCCCAGCCTATGGTGGTTGAATGTAATAGAAGCATTAAAATCTGTACATGAGGGGAAGAGCAAAGGCATGCATGAAACCTGCCCCCCGGCCCCTCCTGCTGCTACGCCGGGCACCTTGGGCCAGCTGGGAGGGACTGGCTCAGCCAGACAGAACGGAACACAGACAAAAGCTGGGGATGAGGAAAGTGAGGTGGGCTTCAGTGGGCAGCAGGCAGTGGTGTGGGCCCCTTGCCTTTGCCACCTCCAGGAGGAACCCACTGCAGAGCACACTGCTAACTCCATTTCTGACTTTGATTTTTTTTTAACTTTTTAATTTTAATTTTAAAAAAGCCCGAGGTACCCCTGCCATCCTGTATGTGAGTAGGGTGCCAGCTCAGGGTCTTCTACCCCTTCTCGCTCAGACACCAAACCAAGATCACTCTCAGCCTGGTGCAGCAGAGAAGTACTGGGCAGTGCCTCTGGGAAGCAGGCACAGCTGGCCAGTGCAAGCTGATATCCTGTATCCTGAGCCCTCGTGTGGGACTGGAGCTGCTGCTAAGTAGTAATAAAACAACCCGGGACAGAGCTAACCACATTGTTCTTTAAATATATATATATTATATATATATGTATATGTGTATAGAAATAGCCAAGAGCACGGAGCCGAAACACAAACTCTAGCTCTGCCCCAGCGGCCCCACCCCACACCCTTTTTCCAAAAACAACCAAGAAAAGAAAGTTTATAAAAATATCTTGCAGGAATTCTTTTAAAGTTTACAGTAGCTTGCCAGTGCTGCATTCACTGGCCGGCTCCCCACCGTTCCCAGCCCCAACAGCTCTGTCCTTAGAGGGAACCTGGGCTCTGGACCCACCCTGCCCAAGTCAGACAGACAGAACAGACAGACAGATGGCAGGAGGGTACTGCTGCTGCTCCCCCTTCCCTGAACAGAGAACAGAGACATAAAGAAACAATAAATTAAAACAGCAAATAAATAATACTGGTCTCAGCCCAGCCCCCACAGCTTGGCCAGCCCAGGCAGCTCTGGAGCACCCAGGTCTCTTATTTCCACTTCAGCCCGAGAGAACCTTCACAACCGGAGCTCTGCAGCCTGACAAGGTGGAGCAATGGATGCAGATGAGAAGAGGTGGCCCTGGTGAGGCCAAAGTGTGGAAAAGGTGAGGTGAGTGGCCCAGGAGGCCTCCAAATGTGGCGTGGAGGACAATCCATTCCCACTGCTTCTCCCACCATGGTCCCCTACCCTGGAAGAATGGTGGACAGGTTGTCCCTGTCAAGGGTCTGGTCACTGGGAGTCCAGGGTGACTGGGCTAGAAGAAGAGTCCCCCTGGGAGTCAGGCCCTCCTCCCTTGGGCCATGCAGAGCTGCCCGGGAATGGGCAGAGGTGGACAGTGGGCTGGCCTCTCTGCCCAGCAGCAGCAGCAGGAGGAAGAGGGGAGGTGGTCCGCAGCAGCTGCCTTCGCTCAGCCAGTGTCCACACGCAGCACAGAGGATGGCCTCGTGGAGGTGACATGTTAACTTTTCGGGATAATTCCTGGTATCAGAGCGGAAACAAGCGATGCTGTCAGAGACAGGCAGAGACAGACCGCAAGAGAGAAAAGAGAGTAAGCCCAGCAGCCCAGCCTGTGGGCCATGCCTGGCCACTCTCCTTTCCTCCCAGGCTTGAGACAAGTTCTGGGCAGGCAGGTGGGGCCTGGTCCACACAGGGTGGCAGAAGGCCACAGTCAGTGCTGTGCTGTGCTGTGCTGTGCTGTGCTGTGCTGGGGAGGGACTAGTGTCTAAGGCTGCTCACGGTGGGCGGCGGGCGGCCCCATCTTGGCCATGTCCTTGCCCATCGGGTACTCGGTGTCCCCTCCAGGGCCAGCGGCCGCGGAGTCACCCAGGGGGCCGTGGGCACTCCGCTTGGCGGGTGTGCTGGGGGCCTGGGCCGCCTGCCCGTTCTTCTCGTCTGAAAAAAGTTGTTTAATTACGTCAAAGAAGTTACTCAATGGGGTGCCTGGGTACACAGAACAGAAGACAAAAAGAGAGAAAAGAAAAGAAAAAAGGGGGAAGGGGAGAGAGGGAGGGAAGGAGAGAAAGAACAAACAAATGAACGAAGGGGCCTTGACAAGAGAAAGAAAAACCCGATGAGATGAAGTCAGATGGAATGGCAGAGCAAGGATAGGCGGGTAGCAAGCAGGGTGGGCAGGCGGCCAGTGGGGTCCCTATAGTGCCAGGAGCAATGCAGTGGGAGTGGCTGCTGTGGAACAGACCCTGGGACCCTCCGTACCTTCAAAGTAGATGGGTCCTGGGGGCTGCTTCTGAGAACTGGGGCCCAGGACTGGCAGTGAGATTCCTCCCTCACCCAGTGTAGCCCTGAGTCTTCCTTCCCAAGTGTTAGGGCCACGTAAGCTGGCCAACCCCAGGTGTAAAAGGAGCAATGGAAAGACCAGGGCTGAGTCAGACCCTGGGGTTGGCTGCTGCTCTGTGGATAATGATTGCTCTCAGAAAGGGCGGCCAGAGCCAGTGAGCAGCAGCATACAGGGAGAGCCTGGCCCTGGCTAGCACAGACAGTTTAGCAGCAGACAGACAGGATGAGTGGTCAGCGCGCAGGCAGGGAGCTGGGGACAGGCAGCCACAGCTGAGTTTCTGGTCCTGGAGGGCAGAAGTAATGGGTGACCCTCCACCCTCCTGAGCCTGTGCTCACTACCCAGCTGTGCCAATTGGATACCTCAGTTCCATTCCCTCGCCTGACATCAATCTGAGTCCAGTGCTGCATAACCCTCCTCTTCTGACAGGCATGGTCTATGGACAGGTGTCCATCTTGCCCTCCAGGGCAGTGCTACATATAGGCAGTGCTTTAATATATAAGATCCTTGTTGGCCTCAAGCACAAGGACCTTTTCCTGCTCTGAGCATTGAAGTCCCTCCTCAGCCTGGCCTGATTGTAGAAATGGGGAGCAGGAAGTGGTAAAGACCACTCTGGGTAGCAGATGGGGCCCAGGGGTGGTGGGTGGTCCACTGCCTGTGCATACACAGGGGACCCAGTACAGTCCAGGGACAGTGGAACAGCACTAATCAGGGTAGGCTGTGGGGGCACGCAGTGGAGGTGGCAGGTTGGGGGCCAAGTGAGCGTGAGGGGTTCTTACCACATTTGGAAAGCCGCCCCGTCATCACCTCCATACAGTTAGTGTTGTCTGGAGCACAGAATGGAAAGAGGGAGGGAGAGAGTAAACAGGCTGCCCACCTGCAGCCAGCCACCGTGGGAGGGGGCAGGGCCCTGAGAGGGCTGGAGCCAGGAGTAGACAGTTCAGAGGGATTGGGGCTCATAGAGGAGCAGGGCTATGCGTAGACGGCCCTAGAATACTGGCTAGCAGGAAGAGAGGAGCTGAACCTGCAGAGACAGGGTGAGGGATCAGGCAGGCCCAGGGAAGTATAGAGTTCGGAAGGGGCAAAACTGAGAGCTAGGATCTAGGTCAGAGCAGGCCTGTGACTACAGCTGGGTGGGAGCCAGGCAGATAGTGGAATGTCACCTTCAATAGCTAAAGTCAGAAGACTGGGTGTGGTGTTTTCCCCTTAAGGGCCTTTCTCCCCTGGGCTAGATAAACCTCTTGCTCTAGCAAGGTTTAACAGACCACCTACACAGTGCCTGCCCCTCACCACCCACTGGCATCAGACCTGGAGAGGGTGTCCCTGAGGCCTACTCATTAGAGGTTCCCAGCCTCCTCTCCCTGAGTAGGGTCCATGTCTGCATCCTCCTGGATCCTGGAGGTCTATTTCTGTCCACCTCCAACAGTGTCTTTGGAGCCAAGCTCATTGGACTAGGGCCCAGGACACAGGACCCCAATGGGAAGGTATTGGGGGACAGGCTGCGATCCAAGAGTAGGTGGTGCCCAACAGTCCCTAGGTGGGCTCCAGCAGTGACAGAACTGGTGAGTGGGTCCTGTACATGATGCTGGTGGGGTATGACAGAACATCTTATAGGACAAGGCATGGAGAGCTGTCCAGTACTCAGGAGTTCAGCATAGTTGCATGTCTGAGTAGTCACTACGAGCAGAACCCCAGCAGCATGCTAGCCCCTCGTTTCCTTGCCTTGAACAGTGCTGGCCTGCCTCTGCCTCTGCCACTGCCTGACATTCCTTGCCCTCAATTTCCCATTACTGTTGCTATTCCCAAGCATGTTTTTCCTCTTTCCAAGATGAAAGCTTAAAGCCCCAGGAAGACAAGATTGACTGGAGTACAAGTGCCTACAAGAGCATCTGACCCTGCCTGCTCGAGAAGAGAAGAGAGCTGAGCCCAGGGCTGCTGGGGGCTCCAGCCCCACCTGCCAGGAGATAAGGCCCATGTTGGGAGCACATCTATAGGCGATGGAATGAGGATGGGATGAGATGAGGAACAGGTAAAAAGGACCTACACACACACGCACACACACACATGCATACATACATACACACACACGCACACATGCACACAAAGAAGTGACTAATAGGTAGGTGTGCACGCACATGCACACACACACACAGAGAAGTGACTCTAACAGACACACACACACACACACACACACACACACACACACACGAGGTGACTCTAAAAGGCCCCAGCTGTGGAAATAGTAAGCTGGGAATAGGGCTTGGAGAAGCTGGCCCTGAGCCACATCCCGTCTCTTCTAGACTTCTCAAGAGTGTCTAAGTATCCCCATGCCATACACCATCAGCTTGCCCCTTTGCTAAGAGATAGCCCAGACTATATCCTAGCTATTATTCTGACACACAGGTCCCATGTGTATGCCTGTGCATAGGGCCAGACACACCGGTACTACCTCCTCCCATAGACACCAGCAACCCAGATACCTTTCCTAGCACCCTGCTGGGATCAGACCTCCATCCTGCTTAAGGCAGAGCTCTGGTGGTCAGTGGCATGGGGGTGGCAAATCCCAACCACTGTAGAAGTGCTACAGGGGGAGTCCCGAGGATCAAGGCCTTGGGCCTCAGTCCCAGAGCCTGCTCAGGCTGCCCTCATGTCCAGCTGCCTGGGTGCTGAGCCTGCAGGCCTGTCCGGAGCCTGGCCAGGTGAGTGGCCACGGGGCGTCCCTCTTAGGGCAAGCCTGGCTCCTGCAGGAGGCCCTGCCCGCAGCCCCTCCCCTCCCCGGCAGCAGGCCGGACACCTTACCTGCCAGCGTCAGAGGCTACTCTCGTAGCTGGTGGCCACCTTCTGGCCCTTAAGCCCAGCACCCCAGCTTAGTCCTGGCGCTGGCGGGGGTGGTTCTACGGTGGACAAGAGGCGCCTTTCAGTGTGATGCAGCCCACCATGCCCGGGGAGGGGCCCTGCTCCCTGAGGGGTGCAGCACTGCTCAGGGCAGGGAGGTGGGCATCCGTCAGAGTAGGAGGCCATGTCAGTCCTCATACCTCCCATCCAAGCAGCACTAGCCACAGATGCTATGCCAAGCCCCCACCTCACCTGACAGGTGCTGGGCTGATGGCTGGTCATGGGTGCTCAGCAGCTGGGCCTGGATGGTCTCCACCACCCTCTTGAAGCGGCGACTGGGGCCTGGGGGAAGAGTGACAATCAGGGCACTGGAAGGACCAGTGGGGGTGAAACACAACTACCAAGTCGGCTGGCTTACCTGAGAGCAAAGTGAATGTGACTGAGTAGATGCCATTCTCCTTCTGGGCCTCTCCACCTTCAGTGTAAGTGATATCCACCTGGAACTTGACCGGCTTCTGGAATACTGCTGGGCCCCCTGTTGCTTTGTATTCAGCCCGGAAGCTCGTCTGGGAGATGACGCTGTGGCTGAGGCTGGGTATCTGTGGTGTGCACAAGCTGGACATGAGCACAGCTTACCAGCAGGCCCCACTAGCCTACTCCTGGACTTATGGGGAGGAGACCTCGGAAGAGCCAGCACTACGTGGGCACCAGACACAAACCCAGCCTTCCAAGCCATCTCCAGTTTTGATACAGAAGACTAACAGAAAGAAACTTACTTCAGAGCCCTCACTCAGCCAGGGTGTACACTAACCACTACCCTGGGTTTCCCATAGAGAAGCCTACACTGGAAGGGGCTAGATGGCCTTACAACCCTGAGTCAGGAGCATCACAGTAGTGAGCAGGAAAGCTAGGAGCCTTCTGCAGATGTGGGAGGCTGTGTGTGAGTTCACAGCACTGAGGGCTGATCACATGGATTGGACAGAAGCAAGAGCAAAACTAGAAAACAGGGTCACCACAGTATACAGGACTAACCTCTGTGGGGAAGTACATGGGGGTCCCAGTCTGGCCTGGTGATCTAAGGGTCTTGTGAAGGGATGTAATGGATGGAGGTGAGGAGGAGTCAGGCTCAGATCAAAGGGTAGGCGTGCTAAAGAGACACAGCAGGCCAAGAGTCTGGCCAACCTCAAGTGTAACTACTCTACTGGGAGTGGCTTTCCCTGGCTTGAGGCTTCTGGCAGACATTCTCAGCTGTCCTCAGGGTACCAAGGAAAATTTTCAACTGTAGCCACAGATTGGTAGCCTAAAAGACTCCAGGGCAGAATGTCTAATGAGGCAAGGGCACCTTGGAGCAGGACCTATCTTGGAACAAGGCAGGCACTTTCTGATGGATGACCATAGGAAAGATGACATCCCTGAGCAAAAGTCAGTGCACTGAGTCCTGGGTGGGAGGTCCAAGCGAAGGAAAGTCCCAGAGAGGCCTAGCCCAGCGTAAGGCATCCCCAATTCTGAGGTTACTCTGGGAGTTCATATCCTGGCTGGAAAGTCTCATCTCCAGTGTTTGGGTTCCTTTCTGCTTCTCAGAACCTAGAGATGCCCATGTTCTCTGAGAACCCCAGCCTCTTCAGGAAGTTTGGGGGCCACTGGAGGTCACAGACTTCAAATAAAAAAGTAGTATGAGAAACAGACTCTGGGCTTCAAGATGTTAACTGGGTGCTATCAGAGTCCACACAGATACCTCAGGGGTCACAGCATCTTTCAGATACACATGGCCACCTGTGTTTCACCCTCAGTCTCAGGGAAGTTTCACCTGAAGACCAACACACCCTAGCCATAGGCAGCTCTCCACTCCCAGAACTGCTGTGCAGTTCCCAGCAGGCTGAAGGCCTAGGCAGACAGTGGTGGTCCTGGCAGAAGCACATAAAGACAGGTGGGTGCCCAGAGCTAGTGTGAAAGAGAGGTCCTGTGTTCTGCCTGGAAGCTGGGCCCATGGGTAAGTGCGGCTGGCTCTGCCATAACCTTACCGACAGGAAGGCATGGACGATGTCAGCCTTGATGGAGCTCAGGGGCTTGTCCTTGATCACCACAAAGATCTGTTCCTCCTTCTCCAGGTTAATGAAGTTCCCGAACCATGATTTCTTGGCCAGCCTAGGCAGAGAAGGGGCTCCAATGATATGAGTGTGATGCCTGGTCTGCTCCTGTAACCCCTATAGGGGCTAGGGCAATAGAACCCTCATTGCAGAGCAGTACTGAAGCTCCTAGCAGCCCAGACCAGCTCTGTAGCCCCAACGCTAATAACCATACCACTCCTCCTAACTCCACAGTCCAACACTAAAGGCAAGCCCCAACTCTAAACTTAACCCACAAACAAAACCTAACCAAATACCTTTCACCATAACAGTAAACCAAAATCCTTAACCATAACCAAACTTCCCTAACTATAACCCCCAATTTTTCCCCAGCATCCATAACCTAGACCTATATCCCAGCCTGAACCCCATGTTACTAACCCAGACCCCATGTTTTTTAACATGGACCCCTTGTCCCAACCTTTACCCTGCAACTCTAACCCCAATCCTATGTCCTTCACCAGAAATCCACCCCAACACCAAACCACATGTCCTTGATTCTTACAGAGATGTCTGAGTGACACTTGCTAGACATTCCACTGGGTAGAGCAGGGGACAGGGGAATGTCTAGATCTCACCCTCTATTTGGGTCCCTAAATTTTGGAGCAGCCTGCTTTCCAACTTCCTGGCAGAAATTTCCTGGTTTGTTGCAAGCTGGTGCATGGTGCATGGTACAGAGTCTGGTAGGGTTCTCTGGGGTCAGGTAAAGATTATGTGGCTCCACACCTCAGCGTGTAGAATAAGATCCATGGCAGACCCTTAGGGCCAGTTAGGGAAGGGCCTGCCCATAGCTCCTACAGTCACAGCCTCATCTAGGTCTGGCACCCATCGCCTACCCAAATACAGGACTTGTTTTCCTCCCACGGTAGCTTGGCCTAATGCTAGGCTACCATTCCACTGCTGTCCAGTTGGCCTTGGCTGTCTGGTCAGGATACAGCAGTACCACCCCAGCCCCACTGAGACACTCCTCACTGCATACACTGTCTCATAAGTTGTGAATATTTTAGTCTGAAGTAGAATCCTTTAGCTCCAGGGGCTGGGAATATCAGTCCAAGGGGACAGAAGCCAGATATCAAGCTTCCCAGTCTCACCTGCAAGGTCCCACCAACTAATTATTGCATCGAAGCTCTTGCCGCTGTGCTGACAGGCTTCTCACCAACAGCTGCAGAGACTGCAGCCCACCCCACCACCATGGGCAACTGGAAGATTCTTTCCTAGCCCTAGAGACCACCACAGCCTATTGACACTCGGCTTGCAGCCTTGAGACCAGAAAGCAGAATATCCGGTCAAGTCATCACTAGATGCCTGTTCAAGAGATCCTAGAGGAGGCTGAGCTGTAAGCTGTCTCATGGCAACTCCGAGTCAACACAGCCAGGGAGACTTCCAGCTGCCTGATACAGCTGCAGTGGGGGCACAGTCAGCACCCCCAGTCAGATGTATCCCTGTACCAGTGACTCAGAGAGCCTAGAAACGGGGAATGGCCAGAGAAGCACTTTTGTTCAAGGACAGGGTTAGCATGTGGCCAGCATGAACAGGAATATCTGTGCTGGGCAGCACCGAGCCTCTGTTAACTTGGGCTGGGGATAGGTTTTCCTGGCAGTGTGACTTCCCCCTTCTTGTTCATTTCTGGAATGGTTCTTTTGCCTTTGTGGCAGAAACAGACCCCCCAGCCCCTCCGTGCTTCTGCTGTCAGTTCTGTGCAGTTCTGTGTGTATGTGTCCCTCATGTGGACCCTTGTCCCACCTATACCCAAGGCCCACGCCTGGGCCTAGAGACCAGCAATGCTTGGGAAATTTCAGAGCAGCCAAGTGGTTCTAGAGTGGAGTTTCTGGTGGAAATCACAGATGCAAGCAGTAATACTTGGCTGATGTGGCACTAGAGGCATGGCAATGTCTAAAAAAAAGCCAGAGGATCAGAGGGGATTGCATGGTGCAGGGTGACACCGCCCATAATAGAGATCTGGTGTCCATATTGCTGGGCCCAGATGCTAGCCTGGGCACACAGAGTTCTGGGTGTGGGTCATAAAGGTGCATGAGAGAATGACCTACATCAGTAGGCAAAAACCATTCAGCTTGGTGGGACCCAGCTAGGCAGCTGAAGGGAAAGAGAAAGGCTTTGGAGGAGAGAGTTCTATAGATTGCTGTAGCTCCCATGGCTTCCAGCCAGCTGACCTGACATGGACAACCAAGGGAGTCAGTTCCTGAGATACCTTTCCTCTCCTCTCCTGGTTATAGTTCTGTGGAGGCTTATGACCAGTGAGGGGCTGGCTGGTGACAGAAAATGAGGGTGCTAAGCCCTTCTGAACCACCATGCAGGGTTTGGGGATGGGGGGGGCGGGTAGGGAAGCTTCCAAAGGGTCTTGATCAAGGAGGTGGTGGAAGACCAAGGCTTTTTCATTGGCCTTAAGCTACTGTCACAGATTTTCTACTTTTCTTTAAAAAAAAAAAAGTATTTATAAGCAGATCTCCAAGACCTTTCTTTGATCAGAGCAACTAAAAGGCCTAACCTAGGCAAAAATGGTCCTGTGCTCCCAGAGCCTCAGGGCAGTTATGGTTATAGAGCCTCTGACCTCCACCTGGACAAAAAGCCTGCGCAGCAATTACCTCTGCAGACACTGCTCCCAGTGGGTTAGCACAGAGCAAGCAACCTCCCTTGGGTCCTCACTGAGTGCTGGCAACACAACTGAGGTTTTTCCTCTTCTCTGGCCACTCTGAGAGGTTGTATAGCTACAACGATCTACACCATGCTCCCCACATCTCAGTCATGTGACATTTTCACACTTTCACACCAATAGCTACCAAGAAAGTGACTACTGAGAGGCCACTGTTAAAGAAACAAAGAAGCCACACTATACAAGCGTTTCATGTGTGTAGGGTGGCAACACTGGACCCACCCATATTCCCTTTCTTCCAGCTGAAGGCCAGAGGTACTCTGCCTGTCCCAGGCCTCCGCCAACTCCCCATCCCCGCAAGCATCACAGGTCGACCCCATTTCTCTTTGTGTCCAAACCATCCCTATGATTCCTTAGAGTCCTAGGAAGTCCAGGGCACAGTCACTCGCCCCTAGCCAACTTCAGATTCTTCTGATTAGAGTTAGGACATGTCCTGCCACTGGCATTCCGCATGTGGGCAGGGCCTAAAGGTCATAAAAATTCATGGGCTAAGGCAGGCCCAAGGGGTTCAGGCTAGAGACCAAAAGCCCTCAGGTGGTTACCCACTGCCCAGCGGGAAAGATCCTAGGTCCCTCTCGCACCAGCCTCAAGCAAAGTCACTTACTCTGGAGAGGACTCTGGGGTCAGGTTGGACATCTCCTCTGGCGTGGGAACTGTGTACAGGAAAGGACAAGGGCAAGGTTGGTGAGAGCTGCAGATTGTACCCATTTTGCCCCTGGCCCAGTGCGCTGTCCATGCTCTGGTGCTGAACCCCCGTTGTGCCTCTCCAGGCCCCAGCTGAGCAGAGAACTGGCCAGGCCAGGCCTGTAGACTTCCTGACTGCCCAACAGGCCTCGCTGAACATAGCTGCTGCTCAGAAAATAGAATGGGGCCTGGGACAAGTGAGGGCACAGGACAGACTTGGAGACTTGCGGAGAGGCCCACAGACCTGCCAGCTGCAGGCACACTCCATCTTAGCTGTGCACGACCTCCTACGCAGATCCTACCACCTAACCAGCCCCCTATCTGTGCTAACCTTGCAGTTTCCGGCGGTGGAAGCGAGGTGAGCCCAGGAAGCTATTCTTGATGGAGTTGAGCCGTGTCCGCCAGGGCACCCCTCCAACACTAGGACTGGATGGTGGTGTGGGGTTTGGTGTGCCAGCTGGGCTCTCCTTTGGCGTGTGGACAGGCGTCCCTTTGGGGGTAGGAAGGGGACTACCCCTTGGTGAGGGGTGAGGGGTCACCTGTATGGTGGGGACAGATTTGGTGTTTGATTCAGTCCCAGTTGGCAGGAGCCGAGCAGGGGCCGGCAGGGTGGGGGGCCCAGGGGACAGGGCCAGTGGAGAGCCAAGGCTGGCTCCAGGAGGCCGGGTCTGGGTGCAGGCCGGGAGCGGATTGGACTTGGTGCCCTGCAGTGGCTTGTCAGTCAGCTTGGCCTTGCACGGCAAGGTCTGAGTCTTGGGGTTGGGCCACAGGGCGGCTTGTGGAGAGAGGATGTGTCCAGGACGAGAGGTGCTCCGACAAGCTTCGGGCTCCGAGGAGGTGGCCGGGGGACAGGCCACATAGGGAAGCTCAGGGGGCAGAGGGGGCAGGACGAATTTCCTAACAGGCTACAGTGGCGCAGAGTAGGGGCAAGAGGGGTGCCGCGAAGTGGAGCCCATGCTCCCACCCCATCCACATGCACACACAGCAGCCAGGACCAGCAAAATCATTCAAGCAGGACCCCAAGCAGGACCAGAGGGAGGGGGCAGGCAAGGGGAGGGTTTGCCACAAAAGAAAACAAGTGACACACAAGAAAACGGACAACACAAAACAAAAGAACATGCAGTTAGCCAGAGCCCAGCACCAGAACAGCAGCCAGGAGGGTGCCCGCGAAGGATGCCTGTGTGCAGGGCAGGGAGGGGGCTTCTTCCCAGTCTGTGGAGGCCCTGTTCCCCACCCCGGGTACTTTGGCTGGGGTTCCTTTTATTTCCTGAGGCTAGCCCTGTAACCTGAGACTTAGGTGGGTTAGTCACTCACCCGAGGACTGCTGAGAGGACTCGTAGAAAGGCCTGAGGAGGCACCGCTGATGGAGCGAGACCTGGGGGGCAAAGCAGAAAGCTGATTCAGCAGAAGGCTCGGCGTTCCTGTCCCCTAGGTGGCCTTTTCAGGAGGCACAGCTGTGTCTGGGATCATTCTGCTGACCTTGGTAGTCACCACCAGTATGCAGCCAAGGTTCCTGAGGTTCCTCTCCACTCTGACGAGCCACCCACCAGTGACCCCAGATCAGGCATAGGAAAAGGTACTAAGGGGCTCTCAATGAAAGTCCACAGACACTGTGTGGACAGAGGTGCAAGGACCGCAATGGAGGATTCCCATGAACTAGATACAACCCCATGCATTCCGTGATCCTGGCACCCAAGTCCAGCCTCTCCAAGGCTGTACTGTACACCGTCCAGTATGTGGCTTGCTACCTGGGCACTTGCCCAGTCCTTTTACATACACAGCTACCCACAAGAGAAGCCCAGGGCCATCCCACAGCCTTCATCTCAACCCACTATTACCCCACTGGATTGAAGACCTAGCCTGCAAATAGCTAGGGGCAGCTGCTAGCCCAGTGTGTTCACTGCAACACGGGTGAACTGCTGCCCTTCAGGTCAGAGACCTGGACTTCCTTCCAGCTCACCATGAAAGGACACAAGAGCACTGGTTAGCCCTTGGCAGTGGGACCTGCCATCTTTGGAGGGAAAAGTGAGGATGGGGTGCAGCCACAGGAGAAAAGAGGACAGAAGAGCCCTAGACCAGCCTGCACTGCTCTGGCCTGCCCACAAGCCAAACCATACACAATGGACCTCTGGTTCCCACCTGGACAACTCCAATCTCTATTAGTTTCTTGCCAGCTCCTAGAGCACTTGTGACAAGTGCCCTGTGTCCATGACCTCCAAGTCTCTCCACCCACTGCTAAAGGAGCCCAAGAAACAATGGAGACCTATGGTCAGGGCAGCATGCCTGGGTCGAAGTGGTACCAGGCTCCTCACTGGGACAAAGGTCCAGGTGTACAGCTAGGAGCCAGGCTCTGAGAAGATGGAGATGGCCATACCAGGAGATGGGAGAGGGGATACAGCCATGAGCAGTGAGGCCTAGGCTTTGATCCCACTACGGTAGATAGGAGCACATTGCTGGGCACAAGGGAAGAAGGGAAGCTGAGGCATAAGCATGGGAGCCATATCAACCTCTCCTCGGTTCAGCAATGTTGGAGTTGAGCTGCAGTTTGTTCAAAGTAGGAAAAATGACTCCAGCCTTGAGGACAGCCAAGTGGGCAAGAGGCAAGCAGGAAGGGGCACAGGCAGGTACAGGGATAGTGTGCTACTCAACAGGATGTGGCCCAGCCAATCAGCAACATGAGTGGGCAGTAGATGTTACTGGCCTGCGGTCACCTGTCAGGGGCATGGGACACTTGGCCACTTAATCTAAACTGGGCAGTCCTTGGGGGAACAACATCCAAGGCCACCTGGACAAGAGTGACAGAGGTGGCAGGCCTATAACCAAAAAGCAGACAGATCTGTTCAGGGTGCAGGGTTGTGCCCCTGTCCCGGCCCTATGCAAACCTGGAGTATGTGGCCCTCTGCCTTGGGCTGGCCATGGGCCTTGCCCCAGTAATCCCACCCCTCCTTGCCTCCTCATAGCTGGCCAGGTTTTTCCCCTGACCTGCTGGATGATTCCATTCCCAGAAAGGAGAGGTGGAAGTATCTGTCAGTAAGTCCTGCCTCCAGGCCCGCCTCTGTCTGCCTGGCTCAGGCAGGAGTCCTGCATCTGGGGCTGGGAGGACGGGATGGATGGGCAGGGTGTATACCTGTCTTCTTTGCTGAATTGGGGATGGGCTTCAGCGATATCCAGGCTTTTACTGAACACTGCTTTACTATAGCAGGAACAAAGCGAGAAAACAGAGTTACTGCCCTGGCCACACGCACGCAGGTCAGCTGCTGGGCCATGTGCTGCCTGGCCACACCGAGCAAGCCCTCCAAGCATGGCCCGCCAACCCCAGGCCACTATATGGAGATGAAGAGAGAGGAAGGGGACAGGAGCCACAGCACAGCCTGCCCTGGGTGACCTTTTGGGTAGGGAGGCAGTCAAGCTTAGAAATATCTACTACACTCACCACCAGCCACAGGATCCCTTGTCCCAACCAGTGGTCCCATCAGAGCCCAGTGCCAAATGGCAAAACCAGAGTAGAAGCAGGCCAGATGTGCCAGGACAAAGGGCCTTCCAGATTCCCTTGGAGATAGCCACCACCCCACTAATGGGCCCACCCTGTAGCACCTAGGGTGCTGTTAGGCCTAGAAGGTGTATTAGAAGCCAGGGAAGCTCACTCAGGCTTTGGATGCTAGAATGGTTGAACGCTGGCCCACAGCTACCCTTTGGGATTCAAGGGAGGCCAGGGAGAGGCAACCATCTCTTGAGTAGATGGTGTGCACTAGAGCTACTGGGAGAGTCCTGATGAGGTGAAACATATCCACAAGAGGCAGAATCCCAGAGAAGGGCTAGGTAAGAGCATGGCCAAGAGGGACCCTTGTTGTCCCGCCTTGTTGCCAGAAGCCGAGTGACTGTGTGGCATGGCTGGCTGGAAAGTTGGAAGAAGTTTCTCAAGGAGTGAAACTTTGAGGCTGGAGCATGAGTCAGCCCAGATCCATGGGGAGGACCTAGTAGGGCAGAAATACCAGCACACGAAAGTCAAGGCAGAGGACACTCTATTTTGATGACTACCTAGCCGCCTCATGGCTCCCAGTTCCTGACAAATTCAGGGGCAGACCTGGCCTGCTTCAGCACGCAAGCTCCCAGCAGGAAGAATGAGCAGTGGGTACTATGTGCAGAGCCCAAGGCTGACCTCTGCTGGCAAGGCCTGTGGGATCTCCCAGCTCCTGGTCTATTCACTGATGACCAAAACCCCACTCAGTCAGGGCAGCTTTGCAGGCTCTAAATGTCCTTCTACCCATCTCTCTCCTGAATTACACATCTTGCCCACAACACTGCTACTGGCCCCCAGGGGAGGACAAGCCTGATAGGAAGGGGGCTCTGAACAAAGCTGTAACACACCACAGCCCAGCTCAATACAGATCAGAGGCAGCCAAGCACCAGGGAGAGACAAGCCTGCAGATCAAGGGGCTCTGAACATAGCTGTACCATATCACAGCCCAGCTCAAACAAGAACAGACCAGCCAGGTACAGCCCAGCTCAGCCTAGTCCAGTCCACCCCAGCTCAGTTCAGCCCAGTTCAATTTATTCCAGTCCAGTTCAGTAATGCCAACTCAACCCAGAAGACTCCCCAGCTTAGTACAGGCCAGACCAGCTCAGTACAGGCCAACTCAGTACAGATCAGTTCATTCCAGTCTAGCCCAGCCCAGATCAGATCAGCTAGTCCAGTTTAGTCTAGGGCAGCCCAGCTCAAACCAGACCAGACCAGTTCCATCTATCCCAGCTTAGCTTAGTCCAGGCCAGCAGAGCTCAGTCGAGTCCACCCCAGCTCAGCCCAGTCCATTTCACAATAGTCCAGCCCAACCCGGTCCAGTTCAGCTGAGTCCAGTATAGCCCAACCCAGCTCAGTTGAGAACAGTTCAGCTCAGCCTAACCCAATTCAGTCCAGTTCAGTCCAGTCCAGCTTAGTCAGATCAGTCCAGTGCAGCCCAGTTCAGCCCATGCAGCCAGCCAGCATGCTTAGCACAGTGAACTCCAGCCCAATCTAGTGGCCTCAGTCCAGATCCCAGGGACAGTGGACAGAGACAAGCAAGGCCAGACTAAGGGTAGTAGGCTAAGAACCTGATGCTACCCTGGCCAGGGAGGCTTGGGCCTCAGGCAGGCACATACCTCTGGCCGTGCTGGGCCATTTCAATGGCTCTCCGTGCAGGCACCGGGGAGCCACCATCTGTGACACTGAGCACTTCCATGGACTTGCGCTCGGGTCGTCGCTTGCCATGCCGGTTCAGCATCGGGGAGTCCACACGCTTCCGGGGAGGGTCTGTGTGCAGACTGAGGTCAGGCTGTGCCAAAAGCCAGGAGTAGGGGCACAGGGTGGGCTGGAAGCTTTGTACCTATCTCATTCCTGGGAGGCAGGTCCTCATCCTCATGGCTGGGATACCGTTCTTTTCGGTCCAGGAGGAGGAAATAGATCATCTTTTCCTGATTCTCCCTGCAGCAGGTGAGAGGTGCCAAGAAGGTGGGCATATGGTGACATGCAATACCTGACAATGGCCCTGTAGGAACTCTGACTGTGGTCACCTGCCGGGGACAGTCCACAGGGATGCTCTCTAGAGAAGCTAGAACTTGGAGCATGAAGTCCAGTGACTAAACCAGCCCCACCCCCATTCCAACATACTCCTCAGACAGCAGGTCCTGCAGCAGCTTGTTGCGGTCTCGGAAGCATCCCAGCGAATGCATGCTATCCAACACATCGGGGTCAATGTCTTCCAGGCTGGGCAGTGAGCGGATCTGAACCTTGCGTGGGATAGGCTGTTCTGGCTCTGGCTCATTCTTGCCACCTCTGTGGACGACAGGGAACCCAGCAGCAGTCACTCATTTCTGGCCTATTCTGAAACCATTCCACCCACCCTGAAGTGGCCAGGAGGGTGAGAGATCCACCCTCACGTGAGCCCAAGTCCTGCTGCTGTCCCTGCACCCAGCCCTGCAGACCTCCTGTATCCTGCTACAGCCGCTCAGGGAGGTGGAGAGTGAGGCTAGGGCAGCCCCCGAGCTGGCTGGCACCCTCCCCCCTTCCTAGCAGGCCCTGCAGGCCACAGCAACAGGCAAAGCAGGCGTTAGTGGGCAGAGAAGCTACTTACATATACCATATGTGTTTCTGAATGTGCTCTAGCTACAAGGAAAGAGAAACAGGGGGTTAGTACCAGGGGGAGCCCACGTTAGGAGGTAGGGGACCAGAGCAGGAGAACAGGAGAAGGCAGGGCAGGGGCTGCATTCCCAGAGGCCCAGGCCAGCATCCCTACCCCTGCCCCACCCCAGATGCAGAGGAAATAAAGCCAGGGAAGGAGAGGATGAGGGACAGGGGTTCATGGAGAAGAGAGGCAAGGAAGCAAGCAGCGCCCTGGGACACCTGTCCTGCCTGGCTGGGCCCTCCCAGATCAGAGGGCATGAGTGAGGAACCAGTCCAGGAGGCAAAGCCAGGCGGCTGGGAGGGGCTGGGTGCAGGTGCGGGCAGGAGGCTGAGGTAGCCCACTATACCTTTCTCTCCATCCTGACTCAGAGACAGGGATAACTACATTTGCGGGAGGGGGCAGATGATATCTATTCTAGAAAGGCCAGCCCACAGGGCACCTTGCTTCCTTTACATGGGCAGATGCTGTGTGGTTCAAAACCAACTGCTGGGGCTTCCCTCACACCTTTTCCCACCTCATAGCTGATGGAGCTGTGAGGCTCACGCTGCCAGAAGGCATTCCACAAGGATGTCAGAGGGGCAGGATGGCAGTAAAGGGGAACAAACTCTCCAACCACTCACAGGCTCCCTAAGATTTGGCAGAGCCCCCCCCCACACACACACACTTGGGCGCACACACACCTGTGTACAGATAACACACACAGGCGCCTTACATGCAGTTGGGCACAGCCACATAACACACCTATCATATTTGCACATACTGGTGTGTATAGATGACATACGTCCGAGGACTCACCCTGCACACAGCTGGGCACATACTCTCCCTCACAACAGCTGGTAACAGCCCCCCCAACACACACCTAGATATACACAAATATATGTGTAAATAACACACACATGGGCTCACTCACCCTACATGCAATTGTGCAGTCTCACACACAGCTCCCCCACATACACCTAGGCACACATGCTAGCAAACATGGATCCACACTGGTGCATATCCACCTGGCATGACACAGAGACTCATCACTGTGCATGTGGTATGCCTGAAGTACACGCACAGGCACAGGTGGGAAACCCCACACTCAGAGACATTTTTCTCCCTACAGTGCTCAGGAGCAAGTGCTAGAGATGGAAGTTTGGTTGGCCCCACCAGTACAGAGCTGTCTGGGGAAAGGACAGGTCCAGAGATGGTGTGAAGAAGGGGCAACAGGAATGCAGCAGGGCCTGGCTCCCCATGGGTACCCAAGTTCTGGCTAGGGCAGAGTTGAATAAGCAGGACGCACCGTGAGGCGCCGAGCCGCATCCACCTCAATCATGCCACGCAGGAGACTCTGGCAGTCTGGTGGGATAAAGTGTGGCATGTGGAACACGCCGCGCTTGACCTTCTCCAGCAGCTGCCGCAGGTTGTCATCATCGAAGGGCAGAGCCCCCTGTGGGTGAGCAGGAGAGCAGGACAGCACTCGTCATGGGTGGGTCGCGGAAGAGCAAGGAAGGAAGAGAGGATGTGGGGAGTAGGGGGAGTGGAACAAGGTGAGGTGAGTGGGGCTCACCACCAGCAGGGCGAACAGGATCACACCACAGCTCCACACATCTGCCTTGCGGCCATCATACTTCTCGCCCTGTGGGAGGAGGACAATGCCAGGTGTTGGCAATATGCAGAGTGGGGATATCGAGTCGGGGAGTGGGTCTGAGGAAGGCAGCTGAGCTGTGACTCGCTCAGAAGTAGCAGGATTAGGGGCCCTTCCACCACAGGACCCCCAGTGGCTGCTTACCCGAATCACTTCCGGACAGGCATAGTGTGGGGATCTAAGGGCAAAACAGCAGGTCAGGGGGCAGGAGGCCAGGGTGCACAGCCCATATCTTTACACCCTCCCTGAGGCTTTCTCCACATGAGTCCTGCCCTAGGAAGCCCGCACGTGAGGTCCACAGGCCATGGCTGGGCTGCCCCAGAAGAATGAATGACTTTGAGACCAAGTCCCCCAGTCTAAATACCCTGTATGCTCTGGTAGAAGACAGAGGTTGAGCTTGGGGACTCAGACCTGCCTGCCCATCTATCAGACCCAGGAGAGAAGGCCCAGTAAAATGTTTCCCCAGCTCCTACCACGGAAAGAAGATGCTGGTGCCAGACAAAGAGCCCCCACATGCCACATACTGTAAGAACAGGGGTCCTGTCTTCTGCCCTCAGTCCAGCTCTAGTGCTGGGAGAAAGTCCTTGGCCTTCCCACTAAAATGTCCGGTGACTCCGCAGTCACAGGCCCGTTTCAATACTTGTCCAGACTGGGCAGCAATGGCTGTGGTGTCTGCCCCCAGGGCTATGCCCTGGACCTGTGGGGCACCACTCACTCACCCACAGCTGGTCTCCAGCAGGCTGTCTCCCACCTGCAGGGATGCCATGCCAAAGTCTGCAATCCGAATGTTGTTCCTCTCATCCAGCAGCAGGTTCTCTGGCTTCAGGTCTCTATGGCTGGGGAGTAAGACCCAGGTGAGCCTACACGCAGTCCTCCATGTGGCCCCCTTCCCCACTGCAACTCCTTGACAGGGACTCCTCCCCTTTCCAAACTCCTGTTAGGGGGACAGGGGTGAGATGTTCCTCTGTCCTCCATAGGGATGAAGCCTGAGTGGACTCCTGGTAGCCTTTCAATGCCCATAGGAACCCCACTGCCCTCCTGAGATGCAGGCCTGACCCAGCCTGGCCTGGCTCGCACCATATGGAGTGACTGTGGCAGAAGTCCAGTGCAGAGATGATCTGCCGGAAGAACTTGCGGGCTTCCTTGGGGGTCAGCCGTCCCTTCTTCACCAGGTAGTCAAACAGCTCCCCCCCAGACACATGTTCTAGCACCAGGTATCTGTGGAATGGGGCAGGGGAACATGAGTGCCAGCATCATGGCCTGATATATAGCCCCTGCCTGCCCTCCTGCTGTCTAGTCAAAGAACCCTGGTGCAGGGCTCAGAGCAAGGCCTTAAGGAGGGCCCATGCAGGATGCCTGCTGTGGCTTCTGGTGGCTCTCACACCAGGCAGCTGGGTCCCAGTGAAGACCATATGGACCCCCTGGAGCTGGGCAGAGGGTTAGGTGTGGAAACGGCAGGACAGAGTAAGGCTGACCCAGCAGGCCTGCTATCTCCTCCCTGCCCGGTTTGCATCAGTCCCTTAGAGTGGTTTCTGTGGGGGATGTGAGGAAATGACATCCCAGTCCCCTAGGATCTTAGCTGTATAACAGGACTCAGGAGTGACTAAGGAGATTCAGGGGCTGCAGGGGATATGGTCTGATGGGCTCAGACTGAAACTCTTGGGGAAGGCAAGACCCCTGAGGGAGGGAACAAAGAGCAGCCAGTAACGTAGATGGGAGCTATCTCATGTGGTGACAGGCATCAGTGGTACTGAACAGAAACCCAGGCTGGGATGGGGACCTTCTGAGAAGTCAGCTGACCTGGGGTCCCAAGCCCTGTAAGCGAGCCTTGTGGGATCTAGTAGGAGTTGGGGAGGCAAAGCAGATCGTACAGAGGAGCCACACTGGGACCAGCATTGGGGGATACAGTGGCAGAGGCTCAGTACTGCCTCAGCAGAGCCCCTCCCCAGGTCCCTCCTGCCCGTCATGGAAGTCCAGGACTATCAACTACCCAACCCCCAGACTTGTGGAGGCAGACACTCTGCTCACTCCCACCACACAGCCTCAAAGGGGCCAAAATAAGCTTTTCTTTCCTTAAGGTGCATCCTGTCAGGTATTTGGTTATAGTAACTGATACAGCAGTCAGACTCACCCTTCATGCAATGCCCCTTCTGCTTCATTCATGGCCCTGCTTGCTGGCCTCCTAATGACCCTGGCAAGCTTCCCAGGCTGTCTCACTGGGTCTGGGCCTTGCAGGGCAGTGGGAGGTGGAGACTGATGTATTCCCCACCCTATTCAGTAGGGGGCAGTATTAGAAGGGAACAAGCTCTACTGGCCCTAGACCCCGGATTCTCCTCCAGGGAAGCCTGTCCCACTGTTGCCCTCAAGTTAACAGCATGGGGATCCCCAGGAGCACCAGCCACAGCCTGGTAATGAAACTGTCACCACTGTGGCTAGGGCTGAGAGCTCCTCCTCCGCCGGATGGCAACACTGACACAGCCAGCTCTCCAAGCACAAGAGCAGCCTGGGCCTCTGCAGCCACCCACCCTGACCTCCCCAGCTCTCCAGGCCCAGCAATACCTACAAATATTTTTTGTTTTCATAGACGTCATGCAGCTTCAGGACATGGGGATGCTCGATGAGCTTCAAGATGGCAATCTCTCGCTCCACCTGCAGAGAAACCACGTCACTGCCCTGCAGCCAACCACGGCCCACTCAACAGGCCCACCAGTGGCCTACATGCATTGTTTCCCAGGGTTATAGCATTGCATTTGGGGCTGAGCTCTGGAGAGAAGCGATATCTGAAGTTTGGATCTTGCTATTCCAGGTGCCAGGATAAATGTTTTGGGCAGGGGTTCTGCATAAGCTGGCAGTGGGAACCAGGACAGAGCTGCAGGTGAGTATTCTGTGTGTATGTGTAGGGGGCTGCTTGTGTGTACAGGGGATGTGTGCACCTCCACATGCAGGGTGTGGAACTGTGTGGCAGGCCCTGTGTAAGAACACAGGTCCCTCTTCTATAGGCTCCACAATGTCACTGTTCTTAAAAGTGAAGGTAGAGTCTGCTCCTCCCCTGTCTGTTTCTGAGCTTAAGTCTAGAACTCTGATGAGCATAGCTTTGCTCAGTCATCTTGGCCTCATATAGGCAATGGCAATGAGGAGCTATTAATAGGCACTAATCTCTCATAGGCCTCTTTATCCTTAAAGTCTTTAACCCCCATATGATCCCATGGGTATAATGTCCACAATACCAAAACCCTGCCCTTTATCTCAGGACCCCTGTGCATTGGATATATCCATCCAGTGTGTCTCCAGTTCAAAACTGGTCAGCCCACCAATGCCAAAAATCCTCCACTCCACCTAAGCTGTTGTCTTCTCTTACAGCCTCCACCCATTCAGGTCTCTGAGCTTCTCACATCAGGAGCTAGAGCTTATCCATCCCTCTTCAAGATAGCCTGGTCCTGGTAGGAGTGGTCTCAAAGGCAAGGGCATTTCCTCATTCTAATCAGAGGACTGATGCCCAGTCTGCTGCTCCAGCATGCTGACCTAGTACCACCATTGTCCACTATAGGACTGCTCTCCGGGACAACACAGTCAAGGCCAAGTGGAATCCTTCCTGAGGATGGAATAGCCCAGGAGCTAATCTGCTATTGCTCCAGCAGCAATGGGTAGGATCCCATGGATTAACAAGGGTGAAAGGTAGGACAGAGGCCACCCACGTCAGTCCCAGATACTTAGGCCCATCCCTCCAGGTGGTAACCCTTCTACCTCAGCCCACTGCCTCACCTTCATCAGCACCGACTCACTGAGCTTCTCACGGTTGACAATTTTGATGGCGACCTTCTGGCAGGTGACACAGTGGATTCCCAGCTTCACCAGGCCTGTAGGAGAGAGGCCATACTCTAGTCCCAGCATTACATCATCCCAACCTTAGATAGCAGGGACCACATCCTAACTCCTGACGTGCTGTTTCCAAGTCCGTCAAGTCCTGACCATTAACCACCTTACCTTGCTCACTCATCAGAATGGCTCCATGGGAAAGTGGCTTACTGCACTAAAACCAGATTCCTCCTGAAACCTGAGGTCTTCATGTGCCACTGCCACTGCCCCTGTCCCAGGTCACCAGAGCTCTTCCCCTGGCCAAGCACATCCCCAGCTGAAGAGACAACATGCTCTGAATCCAGAGCCACTCTGACCTCTAACACAATCTTACTCAAGATGCTTCACCTGCAGACTGTGCCCCAGAGTCCTGTCAGGCCCAGTCCCTAGACATGCTCCCCATGGAGGAGTCTACCTATCTTGAGGCTGGTGCCCAGAGCTGGAGGAGTCTCATGAGACACACGGATGTTAGGCAGGCTGGAAGAGGTAGCAGAGGTCCTCTCTGGGACCCACGATGGTTAGTGGGAAGCAAAGCTGGACCAAAATCCGCAGCCATGAGGCAGAGACTGCTCTTTCCAATTCAGCGTGTGTCCAGATACTGTCCCAAAAGAATGAGCCACAGCAGGACACACGAAAACAGTGCAGGGCAAAACCAAGGGAAAGGTAGTGTAGGGCTTGAGGAAGCATTTCTCCTTTTTTTTTTTTTTTTTTTTTGGTTTTTTGAAACAGACTTTCTCTGTAGCTTTAGAGCCTGTCCTAGAGCTCTCTCCGTAGATCAGGCTGACCTCGAACTCACGGAGATCCTCCTGTCTCTGCCTCCCAAGTACTAGGATTAAAGGCGTGTGCCATCAGCACCCGTTGAGGAAGCATTTCTGATGTGGGCAGTTATCTCCCTTCTCCACAAAAGATTAATTTTCCAACCAAATCAAAGGGCTCTTGTAAATTGATAAGAAAACACATACACCATGCTCACAGACATGTGCATGTATATGCATGTGCATATCTCATGTACATGGCAGTAATATACAAATGGGCAAAAAATGAACACAAAGCAGATAAATGTGTAGAAAGACAGTTCATGTTTTGAGTAAGGTCACAACAGAGATGTGGTTTCAGAATGCAGTTGGAGCTGGGGTCGCGGGTTATCTAAATGAAGAGCTGAGTTTTCATGATGGGGAAAGCCCAGGCTGCCATGTGAGATCCCAGGCTAGGAGGTGGCCACAGTGGGACACCTTAGCCAAGGAAGTCATCTCTGAGGGCTGGCAGAGGCTCTGGTGCCTCCTGCTGGCTGTCTTTGATCCAGCATGAATGCCTGTGATTCACACTCAGATGGGGAGAAAGAACCAGCCAGGAGGGCAAGGATACTGACCATCTGATATTATAATTCAGTCACAAATTGGGCTGTGGCACTGGCCAAGGCACTAAGACGTGAGGTCACCTGCTCTTGGCCAGAAGGTACTCAAGACTTGGTAAAACTATCCAGTCCCCCAAGAAGACTGCAGGTGAAAGGGAAATGAGGAAGGACAGTATGGCAAAGCCTCCTGCCCCAGGACGAAGTACTCTTGCAAACCTAGAAGGCCCACTTGCAGAAGGACACGGCCACAAGGGCAAAGCAGGAGATGAGCGTGGCCCAGAAACAATGTGTCCCCTCAGGAGAGCTCAGAGGACAAAACATGGCTGTTCTGCCCACAGATGGGATAAGAGCAGACTGGCGGGGAGGACAGAGAGCATGGCAGGCATCCTCAAATGTGTTCCAGGTAGGTAGGCTGTCTTTCGGCTGACTGTATGTATCAGCATGCGAGGAAGAGGGAACACTAGAGTCTCAACAGGCAGAGTTCCATATCTCATCACAACCCAACTGGCAAGCATACCTGGTAGCCATTTAACCAGTAGTGCAGCTAAACCATGAGATGTCCACCAACTGACCTCACGGGACATGTGGTGCCCTGGCAGATATGGTACTCGCTTCCTCTCTTCACTCTTAGTCCACACCACAGGCACGCTTACCCTTATATGGCTATGTGCATACCCATATCTCCCCCATAATGCACTTATGCATATCCAGTCACATTCACATACTACGTACATGCCCTTGTACTCACCCTCACAAACAGGTGACATACACATTCAGCCTTCCATGTATGTGCATACATACAGCACAACCTTCACATCTCACCTGTCGGCCTGCCCCATGCACTCACCCTCACATGGATGGGCACACATACCCACACTCAACCTCACATGTGTGCGTTCATACTCACACAGCCCTCCAGCCAGACAACAGGCACCATGAGAGACATGTAGAAAAATGTCATCCTGCCTCAGGAACTGGGAGGACATGGTACTAATCTGGAGTGAGCACCCAATTTTAAGAAGACAATGCTGTCATCTCCATCCAGTGTGATTTCCAACGTCTGCCAAACATAGCTGTGTATCAGACACTGCCTCACACTTAGAGGTGGGGGAACTGAGGTTGTGGCATCTACCTAGCTGGCTTTTTAAAAGCCAAGAGGACCAGAACACGGTGTCCCTGAGCCCCAAGCTTTCTTTAGGGGCTTCCTGGGAATATGAGATCATGACCCCCTACTCAGGAAATGAGTGGCCAACGAGTAGCTCTAGATGCAGTAGGCTAAGGTGTGGGCAAGCTATCCTGGACCCCTCCCTTCATTTCTTCCACTTGCTTCCAGTATGCACAGAAAGCCCATTCCCCATCACTGTATCTTTAGTATTTCTACATAGCCTAGCATAGCAATACTTCTCCTTGGTAAGGCTCTCCTGATACTTTAGGCCACTCCTTCCCTGTCTCATGAGGGAAAATGGGGTCCTGCCTCAGGAATAGGGGCAATTGGGGATCTTCTGGGGCTAGATGTCTGGGTTATGAACAGTTCTGCTCCTTCCTGTTGCAGTGAGTAGGGAGTATGCCTTCAGGAGCCTTGTTGTCTGGCCTGCAGCCTCAGGGACAGGCGGCTTTCTGGCGGGAAGCCCATGATCACCCCTCATTACCCAGCCCTCTAAGTCGCTGGGGCTTATTTTCCAATTGTGATTTTATCTCTAATTATTGTCTTCACACAGATGCAGCCTCACATAGAAAGGGAAAGTATACCATGTCACACATAATTACACAGGGCCCTTGCCAGGGTGGGGCTGAGCTGGAAGCAAGAGGAGCCACCAGCTCCAACTGTGCCCTGCTTCTGCAAGGGCAGCAGCAGGTTCAAAGGGACTGGGGCTTCCAAGCCTCTAAGGAGGATCCCCAGGCTTCCAGTGATGACTCTGACATGAGTGTGAAGGGTCCAGGCCCCTCTAGAGCTACTCCCACCCACAGGCACCTAAGACTTCTGAGCCTAACTAGGGAATGGGGGCAGCAGGCAGATATACAACTGTAATTGGTCAACTAAGGCGTTAGGCAGGCCCTGACTGGGCCCCCAGTTGCCCAGGCAGCACGTGGTGACTGGGTTCTGAGCAATGACCCTCAGTAGAGGCGGAGTCTAAGGACTGTGGCAGAGTGAGGACAACAGGATGACCTTCCAAATATACCTGTCCTCTACCCAGTTACACAAAACTGGGGCATGACACTACCATGTGGGTTGGGCATTTTCTAGGGGGTGTGGAGTAGCAGCTTGGCACTCTGTTCTGCTCTTTGGACTCCAATGACCCCAAAGAATTGCTCAGTTGGGGAGAGGAAGGAACACGCCTAACTGTGGATCAAGCCAGGTGATCTTCAAGGATACCCCGGGGATAACTTTGGGTAGTGGAGATGGAAGAGGATGGGGCCACCATTTGGGAGGCAGATCTGGCTCCCTATGAACTTGCAGGAATCCTAGGCTGATGGCCAAGTGCCTAAGGGCGCTGGACACAGATTAAGATCCAATGCCTCTTCCCTCCTGCCCTGCCATTGCTGGCCTCTCTTATACATCATGATCCTTCTGAAGACCCCAACTGGGCTTCTCTGAGCCCTGGGGACCATGAGTGCAAAGGCCAGTGAACACATCTCACTGTCCAGTAACAGCCACCAGAATAGTCTGCTGCTTGGTGATTTGGGTAGTGTGCACTAGGTAGGTGACAATATCAGCATTGGGGAGGGACCTTCTGCAAGTCCCAGCACCTCAGGCCATGGCAGTAGGGTTGGAGAGGTAGAGGTGGCAGTCTAGAGATGTTCTATCCTGAGATCGGCAGTACCAATCATGGGGAGAGCATGTGTCTGCATGTCTCATAACTGATGCCCTCCTCAAAGTGACTGGATCCCAAATACAATATTTCTGCAGAGGTATCAAGTCAACTGGGAAAGCATGGTCCATTTATAACCTATTGTCAGTTTCTTCCCTCAGTCTTCTCTCACTGAGCCAGGGCATCTAGAAAATGTCCATGGCTGCGACGTTCTGCTTGTTCCCCAGGTTCCAGTGCTACCTTCAAGACTGTTCCCCCACCCCCACCCCGTGGTGGTTTGAGGAAAATAACCCCCAAAGGGAGTGGGACTATTAGGAGGTATGACCCTCTTGGAGTAGGTGTGGGTTTGCTAGAGGAAGTGTGTCACTATGGGGTTAGGCTTTGAGGTCTCATTTGCTCAAGCTACACGCAGTGAAACAAACCATTTGCTGTTGCCTATGCAAGGTGCAGAACTCAGTTACCTCCCCAGCACTATGACTGCCCGCTCATCACCATGTCCCACCATGATGATAATGGACTGAACCTCTGAACTCTAAGTGAGCCCCTAATTAAATGTTTTCCTTTATAGAGTTGTCGTGGTCATGGTATCTCTTCACAGCAATAGAAACCCTAGCTAAGACAGAAACTGGTACCCAGGACTGGGGTATTGCTGTGATCGGCCTGACCAGGCTTTTGTTTGAAGGAATAATGACCTTGGGACTGTGGATTAGAAAAGCTTTAGGTGCTGCTTAATGGGCCATAGTAATAGGAACACGGAAGACTGTGGTGTTGAGTGTGATGTGAACTGTGGGTGCCTGGATCAAGAGGTTTCAGAAAAGAAGAATGTTAGTATATGGCCTAGAGACCAGTCTTCGATACTTTGGTGAAGAATGTGGCTGCCTTTTGCCCATGTGTGAAGAGTCTGCCTGGGGCTAAAGTGAGCTGCATCCACTTGCACTTACATTTCTCAGGCCCTCAAGCTCCCAGTGCCCCCAATGT